ATCCCTGGATATAGGTAGGCCCCCTGCCTACACACAGGGAGCCAGAGCCCAGTTCCAGTGGGACCTCTCCCTTAGTTTGGCAGACATTATGTTGCCTCCTCCAGGAAGGGAGCCCACTGCCACCAAGCCCAGGATTCTCAGACTCCGGCCTAACACTTGACACTCTGGGGTGGGAGGTTCGATGATGACCTCAGTCAACAGTACTCTGCTGGAGATAATCCACTGATTTCAGGTTACAAGTGCAGTTCCGAATGTAAGACTAACATGAAATGTGCACTACACAATGACACTTACTATTGTGACAGGATGTTGCAGAAGAAGGTTTTCATCACAAAGCTGTCTGAGGATTGGGAAGGTAAAGTTTCCCTAAGAACCATCCAAACTCGAGAACTTGCTGATGCCGCCAAACACCACCTCTGATACAGTGAGACAGTGGGGAGGCCTGATGACCACCCAGAGTGGCCATCCCACCTGGATCGGGCTCAGATATGTCACATTAGTGCAGCAGCAGGGGATAAAATGAGAGATCCAAAGATCACATCAGCAAATGGCACCAAAGATAGCTAGGTTGGAAGAGCAGCTAAAAATCTGTGACTAGCCATGTCTGTGAGGTCTGCAGCTTAAAAGGTCCATTTTGATTTCTATTTCCACCCGCCTCTGACTGCAGTGCCAAGCGGAGGCAGCCAGCAGGCTGATGGGCTGCATAGAAACCCACCAACAAAGGGGAGATCTGGATTGGAGGCCTCAGGAGCCCCTAGTACAGGGATCAAAGACCTTTGTCCTGCAGGGCATGTAAGGGTGGTGACAGGCAGCAGAGTATCAAACTCTGCTGAACTCCAGAGCCAAACCAGGCTCCAATCCCAGTTCTCCCATGTCCTGCCATATGCCCTTGGCAAGGTTAGAAACCTCTCTCTGCCTGGGTTGCCACTTGTCACAATATATATTACCTGCTCGGGGGGCGGTCATAAGGATCAAGTGAGCCAGTACATGTACAGGGTGTAGACAATATCTGCTACATTGCAAGTAGGTGCTCAACACACAGTAGCTATTTTTTCTTTTTGTCTTTTTTCGTGTCCGGCAACGGACCGCAACCCTCAGTGTCGCGCCCGTACCGGACCGGGACCGGCAACGGGATCGCAACCCTCGGTGTTGCACCCGCACCTCGCTCAGCCAGTGAGCGGCCGGTCTGTATGTGGGATCCGAACCCTCGGCGGGAGCGCCGCCACGCTCCCAAGTGGCGCACTGTAGCAGTGTGCCACCCGGCCGGCCAACACACGGTAGCTATTGAGTCCTACGTGATCTCAGGGAAAACTGTCGATACTGACTATGGACAGAGGGCTTGCAAAGCACAAGGAAAAAGAGACAAATTTGGTGTGGCATAAATATGTGAAGGACTTAATGTTTATATCAAATTTCTATTTAGTTTAATTACCACTTTTATACCTATACTGTGAGCTCTTAAGGGTCCTAGACCATGGCTTAAACCTTGTTTGGCTGCAACACCTGGCCTAGGCTGGCAGATTCTGCTCGAGAGGACCAACAGCAAAATGCTCAACCTCCCCGAGACTAGGATTCCTTACCTGCCAAAAAGGCCCACGTGTCTGCCTTTTTCCTAAAATTGTTTAATTGTGTTTACTCAGCAAACCTCTAGAATCATACTTCCCGTCCCTGAGGAGTTGTTGACAATCTGTTGTGAGACGAAGTGAGATTCTACATGGGAGAAATCTTGCAACCTCCTCCCACACAATAGCTGTTATTGTTGAATGTGTTTCTGAACTGCACCAGCACATTCTCTAGCCTTAATGACCCCGCATGGGGCACACACGCCAATCCTCCTTCGTTGACGGGGACTTGGCCTGGGCCATGCATGGGAAAATCAGCAATGACCTTCGGCACTGTTTATTTAGCAGGTCTGAGAGTGGGTCCGAGGCATGCTGATCCCTGTGCAAAGCCTGGAATTTCTGGATTTGTGGCAGTTAAGCCCCTGATAGGAACTTGCTGTCGAGTCATTTTTCCCCTATCGTTTGAAACTTTAGAACAGAAAAATTTCTGGCTAATGACAAAGACTTCTCCAACAAAGACAGGCTCACTGTAACTACCCCCAGTTCAAAGAAGGAATGCTGAGAACGTGGAGGAAATGGGCTGCAGGCCTGGGAGGACCTTCTTCCTGGGCCTCTGGGCCTCCTGACTCACACTCTGTGGCCTGAGGGAAAGACAGCACCTCAGCATCTCTTATTCCCACGAGAGGACCCTGGCAGAGGGGCCAGATAAAGAGGCCCAATACAGTCTCAAAAGCAAAAAACACTAAGAAGAGTGACTTTTACTACACATTATAAAATTATGCCTCAATACACTGGACTTTAAAAAAAAAAGCAAACAGAATTTATGCAAAGGCTTTGTGTGCTTACTAAAATTAGACAATCTCATTTTGGAATGCTCCTTCTATTTAGAATACAGGGAGTCAGTGGGTGCAGGAACAGGATGTTGACATGGAAAGGGAGGCAGAGAAAGGGGTAGAGGACAGAGCTCTGGGCAGGAAACTGCAGTCAGCAGCAGCGGCTCCCTGCAGGGCTGCTCTTGAGGTGGGCAGGGTTGCAAGAACCCTCCAGGGCTGCCGAGGCCCTGAGAGGAACAGCAGGAGGGAACTCTGACCACCTGTAGAACTGGAGGCATGAGGAGAGGATGTCAAACAGAATGCTCACCTGGAGAAGCTTCCATGGTGCCTGCTCTCAGATCCAGAGAGACTAGGTACAAACTGCAATTACAGAAGAACCCTCTTGAGTGCAAGAAAAAGGGGTAATGGGGGCGGGGTGCCAGTTTATTCTCAGTTATCAACATGGAACATGCTTCCTCTTTTGCCATTTTCTGGAATGGGCAGTTGGATTTCTCAGAACATCACAACCATCCAGGGCTATTAATTCCCCCTGCATTCACCACTGACCATGCCCCACCCTTCTATTTCAGAAACTGTCCTGAAGCTGGAATGCCACCAAGTCCCACTTCCTCCAGTAGCTCCCAGCCATTCACCTTGGCAGTTTCTTGGAGGACACAGAGCCAAGCTCTGGAGAAAACGAGGAAGTCAAAATAATGCAAGAGTCGAGATTCCCGTTGGGTAATACCGTTTATTGAAAGGAAATCTTGCTTTATCCAGGAATTCTCTTACATGGAGGTAGCTGCAATAACATTGTCCCTTACCCATGACAACCCAAAGCAAACAAACCATACCTGAAAGCAGAAACCCAACAGAATATGCCAATCAGCAGCACAGAATGACACTCAGGAGCAGAAAGAAAATTATAAAAGATACATGATGATTGTCTCCTCAGCATTGCATTTGGCCACATATTTGTTTTTACATATATTTTTTTTCTTTTTAAGCTATCTAAAGAAAATACTCTTGAGCAGGGTTAGTTCTTAAAGCAATAAAAAGAAAAAAAATACATACATATATATATATATATAAAATAAAATCAAAGAATGATAAAATGTTAGATCTGGAAAGACCTTGGCCTCTAATCCTCATTTTGTCCCAGGCAACCCCCGGCGCTGAGAGCGAGGGCCCTGTCAAGGTCACGGGGGTAAGGAGCTGAGCCGAGACATGGACACGCCTCTCAGTTCCATCCAGTGTTGCTGCTACGCTGCCTGCATCCAGCTTGCTGCCACCTCCATCACACGACTGTGTGAAATGTATAATGTCCTGTTTTTAGGGTAACAAGGCAAGTGTTTTGAGTGGCGACCTGTGTTCTCTTTTCATGGGCACTTTTGCTTTGTGGAGTCAGCCTCACGCTAGCAGAAATCGGAAGAATGAGGGGCAGCTACTGTCTCACAAACCCAAACAGACTCTCCCTCCTGAAGTTCTTGGGCCTGCTGACCTTTCTCATCTCACGTCTCTCGTTGTGGGCGGGCTAAGGCTTTTTTGGGCAGGCTCGTTGGTAAATATCTAATGACGGTGGAAGCAGCAGGGAAATAAAGAATATATTGAGGGTCAAGGATTCCTGCGAGTTCTAGTGGCCAAACAATCACAGGCTTGTTGCAACCCCAGGAGGACAGAGGGGCTCCAGGGCTGGGTACAGAAGTGCGTGACCTCCGCGTCAATTTGTCTATCGCCCCTTTTCCCTGACTGAGCTCCAGGAGGGCAGGAATTTTCACCTGTTTTATTCACTGCTGTATTCCCAATGCCAAGGACTGTGCCTGGCACGTCACAGGTGCCCAATACATTTTTGCTAAATGAATGAATAGCACCTCAAATAAGCAGGCAGAGGCAAGAATCACTCCCAGCTAGGCGGAGGGTGAAAGTGACCCTGTCAGAGGTGGAAGAGGGCTTGGTGTTCTGGCTCTAGTCGCCCACCCTTAAACAGGGCTGATCTCTCTGAATCCTGTTGTGTGGGTTCTGCGACCTGCGGTAGGTGGGACCCCATGGCAACTGTCGTGGAGTTCTCTGGTCTACAGGCTTCCCATCTCTTAGGATGCTTGGGGACACTGCTGAAGCAGCTGAACACTGCCCATCTCTGCCCCATACATGTAACCAACTCACAAGGTCCTCTCCCTGGCGACTTCCCTACTGAGCTGCCTGCCCCACGCCCTGGCCTGTGGCATGCCTAGGGACTGTCACAGCACGAGGTGACACAGGAAGGCCAGGAGGAACTACTCAGCATCCTCCTAATGCCATGCTCCCTGTAATTCTGCCCCAGCCACATGGCCTTGTCCCCAGACTTCACTCATTCCAAGTCACCTCGTGCCTGGTGCTGGCAATGTCCCTTTGTCTCAGGATGTTGGGAGCAGCTCGTCAGCTTGCACAGACACACTCTGCCTGATTCCACTCCTTTCCTTCCTTCCCTGACATAAATCTGAGATCCTGCTCAATCCACCTCCTGCCTACATACCACCCCCCCAGCTTTCAAGAACTTCCCCATCTCCCTTCTCACACCCGCCCCACACCCACGCCCACCTACTTATCTTCTCTCTCCTCTCCCCTCCCCAGGACCTTACTGGATGCCTCCTGCCTCATCCTCACACCTAAGTCCGTGAACCCTGTCCCCCCACCTGTAGCCTCCTATTCCCCCCGATCCTGCAACCACCTCATCCAGGGGCCCAGAGAGCACAGCTTGGACCTGCTGTGGGAGGAGGGAGGAAGGACCAATAAGACATGATGTAGGGCCCCATCCTTCCAGAAACCACATCATTTGTTAGAACCTTTCTTACAAGTCTCCCACCCCACCCATGTCAAAGAAATTGCTGGGAATTGGTCTCAGTATGGTTCAGAAATTATAATAAAATTCTAGATAAAATAAGCAACCAAGGCAATAGATACGCTCCATAGATACAAGTGACCTGACTTCTCTCCCTCTGTCAGCGAGTCGTCTACCCAGACCACCTGAATGTCTGCTCTCAGCACGAGCTGTCCATCGTCATGATGACGATTCCTTTCTTCCAGTGCTGATTTCCAAAGTGGTCTTTTAATTCTACCCCCTCTCTCTCCCGCCTCTGGTCCTTAATACTTAAATCTAATAGCTTCATATTTTACAAAAAGAATACTCGATATAGATGTGTGAACATTACAAACAAGCCACCCTGCGAAGCCTCTCAACATTCCGAAATGGAACAGCAGCGGTCCATGGAAAGGTCTGGTTTAAAATATGTACAACCTATACATCATTCCCTCCCCTGCACGAAGGCTGTTAAATCACTAGCACTTTGGACCCTTTTCCTTGGCAGGAGCAGCAATGTCAATGGTGCAGGGAGACAGCTGTGCAGAACAGGGGCTGCATCCTATCAAATTCTATTTTCCAAAACACCCCAAAGGCTGGTGGCTCCTGCTCCTCAGGCATCTCAACATTTTAAACTGCTGCATCTCCCTAAGATGCAAGAGCCACTCGCCCTCTCAGGACCCAGGGGAGGAGCGCAGCATCGTGGAGCTGTCACACTGTGCGAAGAGTGGCACTGGCTCTCCACCCAGACACTCCTTTCCTGCCTCTTGCTCTGGCAGCTTCAGAGTTCCTGTTGGAAGCAACAGGCCACTTCAACAGCCCTGACGTGGCCTCAGACCTGGCTGGCGGCAGTGCTGTCCTTGGGGAAGGCGTAGTTCAGCGGCGCCTCATAGAGGCTCCCCCCATCTGTGCTGAGGTCATCGTCGTCATCGTCCACGTCATCCAGCACTTTGCTCGGCAGCTTCTTAAGTCTGCTGAGACAACGAGGGGCATGTGTCCCGGCCCTGCACTGGCGCTCTTCTCTGATTTGGAGATGAGGGAAGAGTCTTGGGTTTCTGCCCCCACCTCACTGAATGACACATAAGTCCATGAACTTAACTAGTCTGCACCAGATGGTTCCTTCAGCACCAGAGAGCAAGCTGCCCACCTTTCAACATGGAAAGCCAGGCTCCAAGAAAGGCTGGGCTCTAGGGATGAACTTGAGCCTAATCTCATCCCTCAATGCCCCAGGCAGTGGCCCTTGGGCAGAGAAAGCAAACCCCCCCTTCCCCCACCCCGCCCCACCCTCCATCCTTAGGACCACAGCACAGGAGCTATAGAGAGCAACACTCTGAATTCAGGCTTGGGATGTCCTAGTCCTGAAACTTTACCTTATTTCTCTGTAAGTCAGATAAAAGCAGGCTGTCCAGAAACTGCCCCTCCATGGTGGTACAAGCTAGTCTTACTTGCTCTGAGCCTCAGTTTCCCCTATGATCAATAGGGATAATACCCGCTGCTATTGATTGGATGCCCCCACCAAACTCACCAATGCTTGGTCCCCACTATGACAGTGTTAAGAAGGTGGTAAATTCTATTGTGATAATTGAAAGGTGAGCCCTTGAAGAAGTGATTAGATTGTGAGTACCATGACCTGGTAAATGGATTCATCCATTAACGGTTAAATGGTGGTCATGGGCGTGATTCTGTTGGCTTTAAAAGGAGAGCATGTGAGAGTCTCTCTCCACTCTTCCATTCTTGCCATGTGACTCCCTGCATTGCTGTAGAGTCACCTCACCAGACATGTTCCCTGGATTGTGGACTTCTCAGCCTCTGAAACTGTAAGCAGTAAATTTTGTTTTCTTATAAATTACCCAATTTCGGGTATTTCTATTATAAGCAACAAAAACAGACTAATACACCTGCTAAACTGACACTGGGGCGCTGATATCAGGATGACACACATGAGACTCTACTGAACACGTGGGGTGACTACAGTGGACACAGCATCTTCATCTGTAGGATGGGATCCCCCAAAAGCAACAGTGAGGAATTGGCTTGAGACAACCAGAGTGAGCATGCTCTGAAAGCATCGAACTCTCCTCAAACATCAGGGGGATGGGAGATTACCAGCCCCATGGGGCCACCACACATGCTCACCTGAGGTCCTTCTTCATGGAGTTGAGCTGCCCCTGCAGCTGCTCATTCACGTCCATCTGCTCCTCCAGCTCCCTCTGCAGCTTCTTCTTAGAACTTTCGAGCCTGTCGATTTCCTCCTCGGCCTCCTCCACCTGCCGCTTCATTGCTTTCAAGCGCAGGCTCAGCTGCACCGGGAGAGAGGGCAGGTTGGGTGCTGGCTGACAGCCCAGCCAGGATGGAGAACAGCCCGAGCACGGAGATGCCACGGTCCAGCCACCTTCCCCCCAGGCAACCAAGATACGGGTCTCAGGGGCAGCAGACTCCAAGACAAGTCAACTTTTTCAAAGCCAAGTTCAGGGTTTGAAGTTTGCCCAACACGCCCACTCAAGCAGGCTAGAAAGCCCCTATGCTAAGATGTAACTGGGTAAGTGGAAAGAGGAGTGAGCCCACCCTAGCTCCACAGCCTGCCCCGCGAGGCTTGACTCCCTCTTGCTTCCCCAGCCTGAACCTAAAATTTTGTTCCCTCACCTGGTCCTTCTGGTCAGTCAGCGACAGGTGCTCATCGTCCACCTGCATTACCAGTTCCTTTACTTTCCGCTCCAGCCGCCGGTTGCTGAGCTGGAGGCTGGCCCGGTCCCTGGAGGGGCAGGGGAGGCAGAACAGAGGACCCTTTTATTCCCAGCCCAGGCTGCGGAGGAGGCGGAACTCCAGCCATGGTGCCTGGCCAACTCGAGGCTTAGGGTCAGAGAAACACGTGATTGCACAGGAGAAAAGGGCTGCTCCAGAGACACATGAGGAAGCAGACAAGGGGAATGACGAGTCCAAGGCTGCAGAGCCACGGAGGGGCTCAGCTGGGACCACAACAGCCCTGAGTTCTTCCAGCCCTGAGCTTTACTTGGTAAAGCAGAGTTGCAGGCTGCTAGATTGCAAAAGTTTTAGGTCTGCTCCAGCCAACCCCCCTAAAAGCCCTACTGAAAACAGGTATGGTAAAGTGTTCTATGCACACGCACCACACCCCTTCTAGGAAGGTGAGGGACCGTGAGTAAGAACTAGGGCCGGTCAAGTTCAACCTGGTGCTGGCCCTCAGGCTGAGATTTGAGAGTCAGCTGCAGAGAATCGTGGTACTGGAAAGGATTGTCCCACCTCTGACAGGTGGCTTATCGGCCACCACTCGACAACATCTGGGCCCAGGGCAGAGTCAGCCTCCCTGGCCTCTAGTCTGCCTTGAACTTTGTAGCTTATAAGGCAGCCTATCCTGTTTAGGGGATGGGGAAAGGGGCAGCAAGGACAGTGGAAAAGCTATGGGCTAGGAGTGAGAATCACACTAGTAGTGTTAATCCAGCTACACCAACATTCAGCCCGGCTACCTCACTCAAGTCACTTACTTTGATGGGTCTCAGTTTCCTCATCTTTAAAATGGCAGCAATAACAGCAAGGCTGTAGTTGCTCTGCCTTCCTCCCAGGCTGACAAGGCTCGGAAGAGATGCCGAGCTGAGGTGAGGGCACACTAGCAGATCACCACTGCCCTCTAGGCCTCGGCACCACGGGCGGCCCGGCTCACCTCTCCTCATTCTCCAGACGGTCCTCCAGCTCTGCAATCCTGGCCTCCATCTGCACCACCAGCCCCTCTTTGCTGGACCTGTAGGAGCCTTCCAGGTGGATAATCCGGCTCTTTAAGTCCTTGTTCTGGAATCAGACAGAGAGACTGTGGGGGACTATGTGTCTGCTGCACTCTCTGTGCAGAGCAGAGAGGAATACAGGGTAGAACCAGGTGTTTAGTGGGTGCCTGTGGTAAGACTGCTTTCCACTCCAGGCGTGTGGCAGGCGGACCTGAGGAGCCCGCAGGTGTTCCCAGGGAAAGCCCTTGAACCCAGGTCCTGGCAGGCCAAAAGAAGAGGTCCTATCACATTCCCTTATAAGTCCGAATGAAATCTTTGGCATGTCCTAAGACTCCTGGACATCAAACAGACTTGGGTTTGTCCTTTTCTAAACCTGTTGGGCGGGGACAGGAGAAATAGGCTCCCTCACCAGTTATGGTCAGTGAAGAACTGACATGAACAGTATGTAAAAGAAACAATGGCCCAATGAAGCTTTCTTAGCCATGCCTGAGTTAGATAACATGGATTCTTCTTTCCTTTTGCGTGGGAATTTAGCCCAAAGTGGTGGGGAGGGGAGGAGCTCAGGAGCCGCTGCCCTTACCTGTCTCTCCAGGGAAATCTTGTCACATTCCAGGTCTTGCCTCGCAGCCCTCTCCTGCAGAAGCTCACTCCTCACCTGCTCCATCTGTAACAAGGAGAGCAAGAGCAAAGCCCGGAGGTTAAGGGGATGGTCCCTGTATCTTTGTACTGAGATGGTTCCCAGGTACTGAATTCCAGCAACCAAGTCAAACCCTCTGCATGAAGAGGACCACCCACAGGGACCCTTGTGCTGTCTGCTTTTGGGTACAGGATCAGTTTCTTAGATATTCTTGGTTTCTTGATGATTGTGAAGATAGTGATACATACAAAGAACAGTAATCATCATAGCTAACCCTACTGTTACAGGTTGAATTATGTCCCCCCCAAAAGATATGCTGACATCCTAACCCACAGTACTTCTGACGTGACCTTATTTGGATGTGGGGTCTTTACAGGGGTCATCAAGTTAAAATGAGGTCATGAGGGTGGACCCTCATCCATTATGACTGGTGTCCTTATAAAAAGGGGAAATTTAAATGCAGAAACAAACACAGGCAAGGGAAGACCCCCATGTGAAGACAGAGACGTGGGGAGAACACCCCTGAGATGGGGGATTTGAGTGATGTATCTACAAGCCAAGGAATGCCAAAGATTACCACAAGCCACCAGAAGCCAGGAGGAGGCAAAGAAGGACCCCTACAGGTCGCAGAGGCAGTGTGGCCCTGCCAACACTTTGATTTCAGACTCCTGGCCTCCAGAACCACCAGACAATGAATCTGTTGTCCTAAGCCACCCACATTGTGGTACTTGTTACAGCAGCCCTAGGAAACTGATCTACCTGCTCAGACTCCACACGCACTTTCCCATGACACCCCCAAACAAGCCTAAGGACTCAGTAACATTACCTCTGCTGAGGACATCAGGTTTGGACAAGTTATCAACTTGTAAGGTGACCAACTGTCCCAGTTTGCCTGGGACTGAAGATATTCTCGGGATGGGGCTGTCAGTGCTAAAACTGGGAAAGTCCCAGATGAACCAGGACAAGTTAGTCACCCAACTTGCCCAAGACCTACACGACCAGAAAGGGTGAGCTAGTATCCACCTGAGCTCCTGACTACTGCATTATAAGTTCAAACTTCAGAGAGGGCTTGCCCAGGAGCATACCACAGACGCTGCAAGATTTTTCCCTTCTAATGCCGGAAACAGAAGTCAGTAAGAGCCCTGGGCAGCTCCAGGTGACCTGGCAAAGCCTATTGTTACTCAGGGTTTCTTCTGTGATAATAGGAAAGGAGCCTAGCTGCGTAGCATCAGGGAAGGAATCCTGTCACCTGACTGTCAGCAGCTCTTCCCGTTCCCAGTGGGCTTCTGCAGGAGTGAAGGGAGTAGCAAGGGCAGAGGCCCTAGACCCTGTTTCCGGAGCTGTCCAGCAGAGGGTGGCCTGACAAAGGCAGGAGAATTAAGGTGAGCCAGAAAAGTAAAACTGTCCCTTCCTTCCTAAGGATGAGAAGCAAATGCCACGGTCCCACATGGCTAAGAAATGCACACACGTGCCTCTGGACGCCAGGGCCCGGTGAGCATTTGACACAGGCTTGCCTGGCCTCAAGTCAAATTTTTACCACCTATACAGGCACCCTAGTGAGCAAAGAAAGATAAGCTCACCCCTTTCCCACCCTCCCTCCCACCCCCAGAGAGCAAGAACTGGGGTCCCAGGAATGATAAGAGGAGACACTGCTGCATGGGGCCAGGCTTGCACATGCTTCCTGCTTCCACTGCTTCCTGCCTGCAGTGTGTGCTCAGAAGAACCAGGAGCATGGTGTGGCTGGCCTGGGAGAGGGGGCCGCGGGGGTGGCCCACAGGAAGAAGCTGGGCCTCTGCCCTTCAGTGAGAGGTACTGTGTGGTCCAAAATATGCTCGCACTTTTGCATTTCTGACTGGCAGGCATCTAAGTCATGCGGGCTCATGATTTGATAGCAGAGGGAACTGAGGCCTAGGGCAGTTATATGAGTAACTGAGGGGAGCAGGACTAGAACCCAGGCTGGGCCCACCCACCACTTCACCTGCTCTGTGTCTCTGGACCAACAAAGTAAAAAGTCGTCAAGGAGACTTAGAGTTCAAATACAGCTGTGGCATGAAAAGCAAGGCCGTCCAGTTTCCTTAGGGCATGATGCAGAGAGCAGGGGAAATGCCAGCAATGTAAAGGGCCAGCAGGCTGCACACTTCAGGCTCCATCCGCACCCGCTCCCATGCTGCCTGGCCCCCAAGCCCTCGCCTGTCACATGTTGCACAGAGGACACCGGAATGACTCCTGTGACCGTTATATGAGCACAGAGACCAAGGATAACGAATGCGGGCTCATGGCCCTGCTCCGAACGTGGTTTCTGCACCAGCCTCACAGAGGTCATCAGAACAGCTGGGCTATGGGACCGCGGACGGACGTGCCTCACAGGGGCAACAGGTCTGCTCATGCCCCCAGGGCAGAGGCTGGCATGTCACCGAGGACACGGTTAAACTTTCACTGCAACGGGAAGCAATTGTACAGACAAGCAGCAGTGGCCCAGCTTCTCTTCTTGGCTCTGCCATTCATTTGCATGTGACCCTGGTCATCTCACCTCTGGGGTGCAGGCTCCTTGTCCTTGTCCCTAAACAAGGAACTTGAATGGGCTGGCCTATGATATAACAAAAGCACATTGTGGTGCCCCGTCTACCCTTCAGGGTGCTGTGGACACTCCAAGGCAGAGTGGCCACCCATGCTCCAACCTTCAGGAGTTACCTCCAGGAAACAACCCTGTTGTCAAGGTGAGAGTGAGTGTGTGGTTGTGAATGCACACACTTGCATGCTGTGGGAGGGGTGGTGGCATGGGTTCATTTATTGTCCTAACTATATTATCAGTCCTATGCCAGACATTGTGACAAAAAGACTCACGAGGTGCCGCCTTCATTATAACCTAGTGGAGGACAAACAAACAAACCCTGTACATGTGGTCAGTGTTACTACCACAGCGAAGGAGAGTGTGCTGGGCGGGGTGGACCAGTGACAGCTTCCAGAAACAGGGACACTAAGCTGAGACCTAAATGAGAGATCAGGGTAGAGAAAGAGGAAGGGTAGGAAATGCAGCTTTCCAAACCAGGGGGCCACCAACAAGAAAGAGCAGGAGGTAAGAAAGAAGCAGGGGTGGGGTGCTGGAAGGACTAACTGGACATGCAGCAGAGGTAAGAGGACAGGTGACAAGATTGGGTGGAGAGGGAGACAGGGAGTAGTCACACAGGGCCCATAATACTATTGTGACAGTAGCTGACACTTATACTGCACTTACTCAAGTAAGTCTTGAGCATTTGAATAGTATTAGCTCACTAAATCCTCATCGGCACCCAATGAGATAGGTACCATTAATATCCCGCCCATGCCTGCAGTCCAAGAGATGCTGCAGAGAGAGGATGGGCGATTGGAGGATGCCAGTTGAAGCCACAGGACAGACAGGCTCACCCAGGAGAAACGTATGAAGCATGAAGAGGATCCATCTTCCCTGGGGAACCCCCACCCGCTTGGTAGTGGAGGCAGGGAGAAAACCAGGACACAGATCTATCCCAAAAGTCAAGTAGGGCAAGGACTGAGGATGGTCAAGCAGAAGTAGGACTGAGGAAAAGTCACCTGGGCTGGACAAGAACAAGTCTGCTCTGGAAGGCTCGGCAGAGAGGGCAACCAACTGCAGAGCTCGGGGCCGCGCTGGAGGGGAAGACAGGGGGACAGGAGGCAGACGCCTCTGCCTTGGAACTCCAGCAGTGACCGAGACAACAGCCATGCCCAGAGGGCTGGAGAGGGACAGAACGGGTTTGCAAGAGACATGCCCCGCAACTATAGCAGGTGAGGGAGAGAAGCCACAGAGGAGGGAAGAGTTACAGATGGGGACAGTGAGAAGTGAGTGTGACAGGAGGCAGCTGCCGGCGAGGAGAGGGACGGGATGGGATCCTGGCTGCAGCGTGAGGGTCAGCACGAGAGTGGGGAGAGAGAGAGAACAGCCCAGGGCTTGGGGTGGGCAGACTCCTGCAGCTCAGCAGGCCAGTGGGAGGCAAGGAAGGGAGACGAGGGAGACTGTTTTCCCAAAGTGAAGAGAAGAAAGACTGGAGGCTTATACTGAGAGAAAGACATTTAGAAATGTTGCCATGGGGTGTGAGGCCAAAAAACATCAATAAAAGGTGGGCAGAGAAGAGGCGCGGGCCACGTTGCAGCTGTGCTCCGGGCCTGCAGAACGAGATGGGAAATACCAAGAATCAAGAGCCCCCTGAGGCAGGCCCTGATTCCCTGAGTGCCAGTGTCTGAGCCCAGCAGTCCTCCCAGGAACTGTCTGAGCCAGATGTTGTGGCCCTGATTTTCCAAGTGGGAGGTTCAGAAACGTGCCTGAGTCAAGTTAGTTGGAAGCAGCTTTGGGATTCTAACCCAGGTTTTCTGACCAAAAACCATAGGCTCTTTTCTCCCTCCCCATTATCTCTTAAAGACGCAGCCACTGGCCAAAGTCTTGCTCCCTCTGTGCAGTTGGCTGGAAAATCTGGATTCCACCAGGAGACAGAGCTGCCTGTGCAGAGGAGCACTTAGGATGGCAGTGGCCCCAAAGGTCTCCAAAGGTTCAAGACCTCCCTGGAGAGCCCCAGGCAAATGGTGGATATCCATAGGATAAAAGAAAACAAAACTAATTATTTATACCTCACTACCTCCCCTCAAAAGATGGCTATTAAAATGGAAGTGTGAAACAATCAGAGTGAAGAACAGGAAGAAATAAATACGTAACCGTAAACTGAACAGCTATTGTGACTATGCAGTCAATTTTTCTTGAGTCTTTTGGAAACCAAGGCTTTTGGCAAACATGTTAGGCTTCCTTCAGTTCTTCAAAAAGGACAGCCTCACACTAAGTTCTAAAATAAATCTTCCACGTGGAGCCTTACGCAAAGAATACTCATGGTGTTATGGACAGTGTCCCAAAAAGGATAGGCTTCCCCATAAACCCAGAAGTTCCTATATGCAGCTGCTTTTAGCTGTATTCTTCAGTACAGTGATGCCTAGGACTGGGCTCATTGACAGGAATATTCCAAATATTCCAAATCAGATTCTTC